AAAAATGTTTGTGAATTAACAACGGCATAATAACATAGCCAAAAGCGTAAGATCACCTAACTCATTAAACTGTACTAACCACAACACACATAGTGAATGCTATCACAGTTTAACATAATTGTGCCATCAGTATACTGGCAGAACTATGGGGGGTTGGAATGTCGGAGGAAGAGGGACCCAGAGCCAGACTAACCACGACTGCAAAGAATAGGCCAAGTCCAGGGAAAAGGCAGTAAGAAATTAGTACCAGTTCTCCCAAGGGAGTATACAGGGATGAGAAAAAGAATAAGTAAAAGAATATCAATAGCCACTGTTAAATGTACGCTAAACAGTCTACACGCACCATAATGTAATAACCACCAAACCTGATGGCAAAGACTTACCTTCCCCAAAGCCACAGAAGAATACGTAGCTGAGCTCGTATTCTAAAATATTTCTCTAATTCTATAAAGCTCTGCTACTGGCCCTGTGCTATACCACCAGCCTGCAAAATAAATCTGAACTGTGAGAAGACATTGACAGATGTGGATTCACAAACAGACAAGTTATAGACCCAGGAGAAGGACAGAAGGAGCAACAGAAGCGAGGATGTACATGTACAGAAGCCCAGGGATGGGCACTGCTCCAGCGATCATTTTCCTTTTCTTGTTTTACATATTTTATCTCCACCCTCAAAATGTTAAAGGCTCTATGAGCAGCTACTCAGATCAACAGGTCTTAGTTTATTTAATATCGATATGCTTTGAATAAGAATAAAAAGCTGAATGATAGTCAATGGATAAATACATGATCTAGATCTGTCTTATTACACATTTTTTTTATTAAACAGATACTTCAGAAAATCCCTTAGATAAAATCCCTCAGAATGCTCTTGTGCCACAAAAATGTTACTTGTTTTACGAATAGTCACAATAAGCAACTCTGTGGAATCAAAACTTCACAAGTTAGGTAATATTTGTGCCCTGTTTCATCTTACACATACCCTTTTGCTATCAGTAATTTTCATAATTTGTTTTGGCACAAATGATGTTGGGAATTTCTTGCTAGTTTCCTGAAGCTTTATGAAAACCATGCCTTTATTCAGAGAGATTCAAGAACATGAGCAAAAATGAAAAAGGATGGCTTTACGTCCGACTTCAGCCAGGTCACGATCTCGCGGTCCGTGAGTCCGAGCCCCGCGTCGGGCTCCGGGCTGATGGCTCAGAGCCTGGAGCCTGTTTCTGATTCTGTGTCTCCCTCTCTCTCTGCCCCTCCCCCGTTCATGCTCTGTCTCTCTCTGTCCCAAAAATAAAATAAAAAACATTGGAAAAAAAAAATTTTTTTAAAAAAAAAGAAAAAGGATGGCTTTAGATGGAAATTTTTTTCCTTATCTTCAAGTGTGTTCAGATTGCTATGTGCACATGACAGCATTTTGGACATTAAATGGTATTATGCAATTTACTGAATCACATAAGGAATTTAGAAAGAATTATTTTTTAGAAGAAGAACAAGGCTCTGTTGATTATGAGAAAAATCAGCATTACTCTGTTGACATACTTCCTCCTGGTAACAGTGGATCTTTCCTTAAGCAAATCTGCACAGTTTATGAAGTTGGAGATGATAATTTGCTTGACAAAAGGATTTGCCATAGATTCCTATAATGAATTTGAAGTAAAACTAGTTAGTTATGAGGCTATGGGTACCCTTGGAATCCAAAAGACTTGATTCCTACAAGTGCCAGAAACATCCACCTATCAAATGTGATCAATCAGACATGCCATTTAGCTTGTATTATCATCATTAAGATGGTTGATAACATGGAGAATTTCTATCCTTCTTGGTAAATAGTCATGGTACCAAATCCTGAGTGTTCCCTAACTCTGAAAATTCCAGGGCTACCTCAGAATACCCCCAAATCACTGGGACCACCCCCAAGTCTCTCCAGGACTTAGCCTCTAGCATTATAGCTGGGGTCCACTCTGATAAAATGATACCTGTGCCAAATTAGTTGTTAAATATTCTGAGTATCACTTCAGGGTATCATCAAAACTTCTCTGTGGTCTGGAAGAGTCTTTCTTCCTACAAAATATAGGATCCCCTTGAGGGGAGGACAGTGGTTTCCTCCTAAAAGCTGCTCATCTAAAACTGACACTCAGGTCAATGAAATGGGTCCCTTTCCTATAGCAAATTTTTCTCAATTTATACTTTTGAATTAACGCCTTATGGCAGCTATGCTGATCTTTTTTTTTTTTTTTTAATTTTTTTTAACGTTTATTTTTGAGACAGAGAGAGACAGAGCATGAACGGGGAGGGTCAGAGAGAGAGGGAGACACAGAATCTGAAACAGGCTCCAGGCTCTGAGCCATCAGCCCAGAGCCCGACGCGGGGCTCGAACTCACGGACCACGAGATCATGACCTGAGCCGAAGTTGGACGCTTAACCGACTGAGCCACCCAGGCGCCCCTATGCTGATCTTTAAAACATGGTGTTTCACAAATCACACAAATTGCTACCTTAGAAACAGAGAGAAACCTGCAGAGGGGGAACAATTCAAAATAAAATACAGCTAAATAAAATTATTAGGTGGGGGTACAGAAATTCTAATAAATACCTTAAAAACATAACTTCTAAAATGGTAGTTCCAGTACTTCCTATACACGCAGAAAATTTAGAGCTAACCTAGGCTAACCCCATGATTTGGAAGGGATAAGACATCGTTTCAAATATGTTAAATTTAGAAAAGTGAGTTTAGCAACATAAAATTTAAATTTATGACCCTTTCATCATAAGCTGGTATCTACAAAGATAAGTAAAAATATACTATACTATATTATATTAATTATACATATAATTAATTATATACAATATATATAAGCTGGTATCTATAAATATAAGTAAAAAGATAAGATACTACATATATAATATATAATATAAGTAAAAATATAAAAATATACTTTCCTAGATGCTGAGGCAAAAGAAAAATGATTTTTCCTTTTAAAAATAGACTTGAATTTCAAAGCTGACATGCTTCAGTGCTGTTTAAAAATCAGAAGAGGTTATTCCAGGTAGAAACAAACCTAGCTGAACTGAGAAATGGTTTACTCCTCTGTAAGCCTATTTTAAAAGCTTTGCAATAAAGAGCAGAATTTAAAAAAAAAAAACTTTATATAGTTTAATACAGTAATTTCAAACTTTTGTAACCAAAAATGAACTCAAAAAAGTTAAAACACACATAATATACTTGGACCTTTTGTAAAGTTTTTTTTTCTACCATCAAATACAAATCACTAAAGTTTCTCCTCCATAGTTACTGGTATACTATTAACATTTAAAACAAATTTAGAATTGATGCACAAACCAATTAAATTTTGTGTAATACTAAATTTTTAAAAATTACAAGGCTAGGGGCGCCTGGGTGGCGCAGTCGGTTGAGCATCCGACTTCAGCCAGGTCACGATCTCGTGGTTCGTGAGTTCGAGCCCCGTGTCAGGCTCTGTGCTGACAGCTCGGAGCCTGGAGCCTGCTTTGGATTCTGTGTCTCCCTCTCTCTCTTTGCCCCTCCCCTGTTCACACTCTGTCTCTCTCTCTGTCAAAAACAAATAAACATTAAAAAAATATTTAACTCGGGGCGCCTGGGTGGCTCAGTCGGTTAAGCGTCTGACTTCAGCCAGGTCACGATCTCGCGGTCCGTGAGTTCGAGCCCCGCATCAGGCTCTGGGCTGATGGCTCAGAGCCTGGAGCCTGTTTCCGATTCTGTGTCTCCCTCTCTCTCTGCCCCTCCCCCGTTCATGCTCTGTCTCTCTCTGTCCCAAAAATAAATAAACGTTGAAAAAAAAAAATTACAAGGCTAATGAAAATGCATCACATCATAACCCATTTTCTGTAGAACTAGGTGTTATTTTTCAACGCTCTTACTCATCTAAACTGGAACAATGATTAAAAACAATACCAGTAACACATAGAACAGTAATGGCAGGAGAAAATTTTCAGTTTCAGTCCTGGAAATGGTGTACTTTCTTAAACTATACACTTCAGTAATTATAGCACCATAAATAAATAAATGAACAAACAAAAAAAACCACAAGAAACCAAAATTTGGCCATCCATCCTCTGGCTTAATTTTAAACTTTAATGAATTGGTTAAGAATTGAAAGCAGTGTTGGGGCGCCTGGGTGGCGCAGTCAGTTGAGCGTCCGACTTCAGCCAGGTCACGATCTCGCGGTCCGTGAGTTCGAGCCCCGCGTCGGGCTCTGGGCTGATGGCTCGGAGCCTGGAGCCTGTTTCCGATTCTGTGTCTCCCTCTCTCTCTGCCCCTCCCCCGTTCATGCTCTGTCTCTCTCTGTCCCAAAAATAAATAAAAACGTTGAAAAAAAAATATTTAAAAAAAATTAAAAAAATAAAAAAAAAAGAATTGAAAGCAGTGCAGAAATCAGTTGTAGCAAGTTATAGCATGGAAAAAAAATTTAAATTGCCAAATATGCTACAAAGAAAAATGTCTTCATTAGGGGACAGAATAAGAATTCCAATATTCAGAAGAAAATTATTAGCTGCTTGCAAAACTCTGACTGACTAAAGCCCTATCACCCTAATTTTATTTCTTAAAGTCTAGAAGAGTGCCATGAAATTTTACTTGCCATAAAGAAGCTTGGAACATAGTCAACATGGTTAGGGGCATTTGAAAATGACATGAAGATTAATGACAAATAGCCATGCATAAAGCAACTAATTAAAATGGTAACAATAACAGCTCTGAAAATGTACAAAAACACACAAATGCTAAAAGAAAGATTCTGTTTTAAACCACAGACATAAGCATGAGGTTCAATGACACACATCATCTTGAGGTTGGATTTTTTTTTTAAGTTAAGACATCACAGGACTGCTGGATAAAGCAGGAAGTCAAACTTAAGGAAATCACAAGTAAAACACATTGGCTTATTTTAGCAAAAAGAAGATATCCAATACCTATGAAAGAAATCATTCATTAAAATACCATAAGTATACATAAATTAAGTACTTGCCCCTTCTGATTTCTCCACTGTGTTAGCCAGCATCTCCTGTAGGGCCCGGACAGAGAGAGACTGTTCCAGCACAAAAGTGCAGATGGAGAGGTCTGGGGGAACATTCTGTGTGGAAAGAGGGAGAGAAGCCATTGTCATCATCTTCATTGTCATTGTCGTCATCATCATCAAGCAGTCGGACCCAATTTACTTTATTAAACTTCAGTTTCTTTCATAAAAAAAAAGATTACTTATAAATTCTCTATTATCAGCTCCTCAATCACTGAAATACATTATCTAATCTGCTCACACTTAATCCACATTTTAATTTATGGATAACAACAGCCACGGTGTACCGAGTGCCTACTCACTTAGGCACTGCACTCAGAGCTTTATCAGAAACCTATGTGGTCATCCATGGTAAGGATGATTACTATCGTTATGTGGATAAAAAAACAGAGAAGTTAGGTTACTTTTCCAAAGTCACAATTACTAAGTTTTTCACAGAAGTATTAAAAATCCTGATTTCTTGGACTTCCAAGCATTCTCCTAACCTACCGAGCAGTCAGCTGATAAAAAACAGAAACCACAGAATAATACTTGCTTCAAACTATCCAAGTTAATAAATATAAAACTGAATTGGTACAAAATAGCCATTTACACAGGCTTCTCTTCATCCAGAAAAAAGACAGTTACTTTGTTTTACTCAAGTTGGATATATATTTGGCCTCTAACTAGAGATGGGGCAATTTGACGTCTGCTCTGTCTTGGAGTGGACTGGGGAGTGTGTATTTTCCCTTTCTCTTTCCTTCCTTTAAAACTTCCACTCCAATCAATAACTCCATAAATTGTGAAAATCCCAAAAGCTTACCTATCAAGGTGGTGAAGAAAATAGGGTAAGAACTGACTGGTGAGTTAGAGACAACTATCCCAATCAGGAGCAAGTATATTATAGTTCATGAATGCTTTTTGCTTTAGATAAGCAGGATCCAGTGGGCAATCCAACCGGGTCTGGGAAGAGGCTCAAAGGAGGATTTTCCTAACAGAAGACCATTATGAATACATTAAACAGTACATGCAGGTGACACAATGTCTTCTTCACAAAACGAACATTAGGAAGACAATTCTAACTTGATGTAATGAATCAAAATTACAATTTTTCATGTCTAAATATTTATTAAATTGAATCACTACCATTAAAATGATTCTTATCATCAGAGAATGATACTTGATGGTTTCAAGGAAAATGGAGAACCAGGGTTCCAGAACTAAAATTCTTTTGTGGATGAAATGAACATACAATCTCGGTCACTAAGGTTACTCATACCCCACAAACCTTCCTGGCACCCATGTATGTATATATGTATGTATGTATCTATCTATCTTTCCTTCCTTCCTCCCTAAATCTTTTTTTTTTTAATGTTAATCTATTTTTGAGAGAGAGAAAGAGAGAGGCAGAGAGAGAGAAAGAGAAACAGAGGATCCAAAGTGGGGTCTGCACTCACAGCAGAGAGCCCAATGAGGGGCTCAAACTCATGAACCGTGAGATCATGACCTGAGCCAAAGTTGGACACTAAACCAACTGAGCCACCCAGGCCTCCCTGTTACTTATCTTCTTTTAAGATTATTTATTCATTTTTGAGAGAGAGAAAGAAAGACACAGTAGGGGAGGGGTAGAGAGAGAGGGAAAGAAAGAGAATCCCAAGCAGGCTCCACACTGTTTGCCTAGAGCCTGACATGGGGCCCAATCCCGTGAACTGTGAGATCATGGCCTGAGCCGAAATCAAGAGTCAGATGCTTAACTGACTGACTCACCCACATACCCCTGTTCTTTATTTTTCCTTTGTGTAATATGAAATTTATTGTCGAATTGGTTTCCCTACAACACCCAGTGCTCATCCCAACTGTTCTTTTTCAATGAAATTCCCTTTGTTGGATTCCTCTATTCTCCTACTCAGGGCTTCTGATGCCCCCAAATTTCCTTCCATTCCTTCTCAGACTACCTCAAGTGGTCATCAAAGCAAACACCCAGATCTGGGCATAGCTGCTGCTTTCACAGTCTGCGGTCAGCTGGACAAGGGCTCCCTTTCCAAAACCCCCAGATGAAAGACTAGAGCCTAGGCAAGAACTTCTCTTTTACGATGACATTAGGAAAAATTCTTTTAAATTTAACTTTCTCGGGTCTAACTATATTAACTGCAATTTATCGGACCGAGACAAAGGCCAATGGGGGAAAAAATCTGTTACTCAAAGCATTTATTCCATTCCTATCCATTTAATTGTGAGAGTTTGGAAGCTATACCAACAGGGCGGGTAGACTACCATGTTATTAAATAGTGTGCTAGTAAACCAATTTCTCAGGGGGAAAAAAACACCTTGATGGGTAGCATTTGCCCATTTCTGTGACACAAATACTTTAATAATTGCTGATCTCGAAGTCAAAGTTTATAAATCAGCTCATAAAATTCCTAAATATGTAACACATAGCTCTCAGGAATCTACAAGAACTATTCCCAATGTACCATTGGACTGATTTCAGACCCACATCCATTAGTTGCTTTAGAATGACTATATTAAAACAGTTAAGAGCTTGGATTCTATACACAGTCACCTAAGCAATAATCCTGGCCTCACTACTTACTAGCTGCTAACTTTTCTAATCTTTGGTTTCCTTCCCTGGAAAATGGTTTAGGAATTATAACAACTACATCATCCCCACGGAGTTCCTGTGAAACAGAAGTAAGTAAAAAGGCTTATCACAATGTCAAGAACAGAACAAGAGCTCAAAATAAGGGAGCCATGGTCATTAGTTTTGTATACTGTCCTTTCTCTCTGTGGCACTCAGGAGTACCATTAAAGCTGACTCTTGGATGGAGTCTGCTTTGGAGAAACAGTGTTTGAAATCACAAATCAGGGGTGCCTGGGTGGCTCCATCGGCTAAGTGTCTAACTTCATCTCATGTCATGATCTCATAGTGTGAGTCAAGCCCTGCATCAGGTTCTGCACAGTCAGAGAATCCCTACTTGGGATTCTCTCTCTCTCCCTCCCTATCTCTTTCTCTTTCTCTCTCTCTCTCTCTCTCTCTCTCTCTCTCTCCCTCCCTCTCTGCCCCACTCATGCCCTCTCTCTCAAAATAAAGACACTTAAAAAATCATTAATTATGCACCTGTTCATAATATCCAAAATGTTCTAGTATTTTCAAGAAAAGGTAGTTTCTGGTAACATTCAAAAGTTTATATGCTGGATGTATTTATTAAATTGTTTCATGCTTCATTTGATCAAAATGTTAAAAGTATGGATCACTACAACAGCTTGCATTTATTTTAAAGACCCTTGAAAAAAACATGAATTTGGAATGTGTTAACTTGCCACACTAACTTCATCTTGCCACAGCATGACATGCCTGTTACACATGTTTTTCTAGACAGTAGGAGTTAGCAGGAGTAAAGGAACAGACAATCCACAAAAGCAGTTCTCTCTCAGACTCAACCCACTTTCTTCCGACCCATCTTTCTCTTCTCCCTCTCTCACTCTCTTTGCCCCTCTCCTCCTCAAAATACACATAGATGTAATAGAAAAGCTGAGAAGAAAATATTGTTTACCCCTTTCACAAAAATGTGAAACGATACAAATCAAAGCTCTGTAGTATCATGTTTGTTTCGTTCTGAGGAAAAATCATCTGGTTACTTTACGCAACAGAATCATTACTATAACTTGTTATCTTTTATTTTTATTTTTTAAAGTTTATTTTATTTTGAGACAGAGAAAAAGAGTGTGAGTGGAAGAGAGGCAGAGAGGGAGGGAGAGAGAGAATCCCACGCAGGCTCTGCATTGTCATCGCAGAGGCTGATACGGGGCTCGAACCCACAAGCCGTGAGATCATGACCTGAGCGAAGCTGGCTGCTTAACTGACTGATCTACCCAGGTGCCCAAACTTGTGAACCACCAAGGGGCGCCTGGGTGGCTCGGTCAGTTAAGCATCTGGCTTCAGCTCAGGTCACGATCTCGCGGTTTGTGAGTTTGAGCCCCGCGTCGGGCTCTGTGCTGACAGCTCAGAGCCTGGAGCCTGCCTCTGTTTCTGTGTCTTCCCTTCTCTCTCTGCCCCTCCCCCGCTTGTGCTCTATCTCTCTGTGTCCCTCAAAAATAAATAAATGTAAAAAGAAAATTTAACTGAACCACCAAAAGTATTCCTTAATGTAGATGAATGTTTCTTCAAATAACCTTGAATGTTTTATAGCTAAACCATAACATAGTATTTATGGTAAGCCTTTGTTCCCACTTCCCAAAAATAAAGTTAAGTCAGTGAAAAATAAAGGGTCTTGTTCTTTAGTTACAAACCAACTAAATGGCCGGAAATCAAAGTGACTCCTAACAGCAGGCACAAGAAATAAAGTATTACGTTCTAGAAACCTCAGGCGTGAGAGTCTCAACCCACAAACATCTGCAAGCTATCATCTTGTCCTCCATCTCTTATGTTTTAAAGTCCTGTTACCAAGAAATCTGAGTTTTCAAACTGCAATATGAGAAAACTTCACAGGGGACCTGGGTGGCTCAGTCGGTTGAGCATCCAACTTCAGCTCAGGTCATGATCTCGTGGTTCCTGAGCTGGAGCCCCGCGTCGGGCTCGCTGCTGTCAGCATGGAGCCCACTTTGGATCCTCTGCCCCCACCTCTGCCCCTCCCCGACTTGCGTTCTCCCCAAAGTAAGTAAATATTTTGAAACAAGGGACTCTACTCTGCTGTCCTTACAATGAGTGTGCTCCTAAATCGTGGAAGCCACCCTTATGTTGTATGCTTTCCATTATAAGGACTTCGAAAGAGACCACGTCAGAATGTAACACTAAGGAGGACAGCACAGCATGTACGTCTGTCTACCTCTTACACATCACACACACATTTCTTTTCCATGCGAAATCAACTCAGAGAAAGTGCTTCTGTCTGAATGTCTACCTGGGCTGCCCAGAACAGTACCCCAAGCGGGCAGGCGAAAGGTTAGCAATACTCTTCACGTAGAGACAACCCCAATTCGATGAGGATATGTGTACGTTCACAAGAATAACAAACCTTAAGCTAGCAGCATGGATGGGTATCTTTTCTTCTTTTTAAAATACAAATTGGTCGCTGTTC